TGGCAGACTGCGGCATGCACACATGTACATGCATGTGATCATGAGACTGCACACGCGTGCACGTGTACATGATCATGAAACTGTGCTCTCTTGCTGCTGTCGCTATGGGTACACGGCATGCTGTTGCTGTGGTAATTGTGGCTTCAGCAAGACCTAGTATTGTATCTCTGTATATCTGTCTTGTTGTGTGGCTGTTGTTGTGCTGTGCAGTCGCAAGGCGGCCAGCGGTGATGCCGTTGAAGACGGTGATTCCAGTGACGACGGGGCACCGGCCAAGCGACAACCTCGGTAAGCAGCAGGCAGTGCGCCGTGTGCAAAGCCGGGACGGCATGGCTGTGCTGCACGAGAACATACAGTAAACCCTGGTTTAAGCGACCACCTCACGGTGCAAGCAGGTGGTCTTTAGAACCAGGTCCCACAGTGTCTGTGTAGAACTGTCGGTGCATGGAAAGACGGTGGTTAAGAGCAGGTGGTCGCTAAGCCCAGAGGTCGCTTACACCAGGTTTTACTGTACTAAATGCGCAAGAATTACATCGGCTATAGTGATCAACCATGTGAAACGTGACTGAAGAACAGAAGACACAGCTTCCTCGTCGGAGCTTTGCCGACCCTGCGTAAGCATGAGAAACTCTGGTTTCTTCCTGATGCATCCAGCATGCACATGCACGCTAACAAGAGTCCGTAATCCCCCAGAGTGCGCAACTGGGATGGGGTTGTGGGACTGCGTAATCCGTGATGTACGTCATTTTTTGGGACGGACTTGCGTCATTCCGTCGACGTTCCGAGACCCACACCCACTTCCCCCGCTCATGGTGTCGCAATATGGCGTGCAACACGGATTTTGCCGTCCCAGATCTGATCGGTGAAGTTGCGCACTCTGGGGGATTGTGGCCTCTTGACGCTATACGTGTCCCAGCTCGTGTCGTGTGTGTGCTTGCGAACGATGTCACCGCATCGTCAGTCATGGCTCCGTGAGCCCTTTTGAAGAGAACAGTGTGCTATATCCGTCTGGCCACTGCGATGTACAGTAAAACCTGTCAAGGCAACCACTCGGATAAGACGACCACCTGTCCCAGAAGACCACTGCAACCAGGACCCAAGGATGCTATTTCCAGTGAAATAACCCTGGATAAGGAGACCACCTGGTAATAGAGACCACACTTGAAGGTTCCTCGAGCGGTCGTCTTAGACAGGTTTCACTGTGCATCACAGCTATGGACAGTTCTGAGATGTGGGCACCCTTCCATGCCAGCATGTCCGGATAGGGGAGGTTTAGTGGTACAGGTACATGTACTTTGAAAGGCTGATCTAAGACTCTGTGTGTGTGTGTGTGTGTGTGCCTGTGTGTGTGTGTGTGTGTGTGTGTGTGTGTGTGTGCATGTGTGTGTGTGTGTGTGTGCCTGTGTGTGTGTGTGTGTGTGTGTGTGTGTGTGTGTGTGTGTGTGTGTGTGTGTGTGTGTGTGTGTGTGTGTGTGTGTGTGTGTGTGTGTGTGTGTGTGTGTGTGTGTGTGTGCATGTGTGTGTGTGTGTGTGTGCCTGTGTGTGTGTGTGTGTGTGTGTGTGTGTGTGTGTGTGTGTGTGTGTGTGTGTGTGTGTGTGCCTGTGTGTGTGTGTGTGTGTGTGTGTGTGTGTGTGTGTGTGTGTGTGTGTGTGTGTGTGTGTGTGTGTGTGTGTGTGTGTGTGTGTGTGTGTGTGTGTGTGTGTGTGTGTGTGTGTGTGTGTGTGTGTGTGTGTGTGTGTGTGTGTGTGTGTGTGTGTGTGTGTGTGTGTGTGTGTGTGTGTGTGTGTGTGTGTGTGTGTGTGTGTGTGCGTGCGTGCGCGTGTGTATGTGTTACTGTCCAGGTCGAGAAAGCGTAATCCACCAGCGGATGGAGCCAAGCCCAGAAGGTTGGTTGTTATTGCGCTGTGTACTGTGCATGTAATCAAAGAGTGTGTAAACCAGACCGTGTCACTTAGTATTTCATACTACGGTATGACGGCCATTTACTGGCGTAGTGACATCACTACACTGACCATACAAGAGCTACACGCCTGCTTGATGTTACTCACTGCCAGTTGGGGAGGGGGGGGGGGGGGGGGGTGTATTGCCAGTGAGGAGTGACCATGGCACTGTGAAATCACTCCAGCATGTCTGAATTCTGGAGCCCACGTGGTCTCCATGCACAAGCAGTATGCCTCTCTGGCTGAAGCAGCACTTGTGCTGATTTTTACTGTGGTGTGTCTGGTTGCCTGGTAACGTTATCACTGATGCTGCTGCCGATGCTGCTGCCGCTACTGATGCTGGTTACGCTGCCATTGCTTTAGACCATTAGTGTAGAGTGTTCCAAGCTGCTATACAGTAAACCTGTAACTAACGACCACCCCTTGGGGCCAGAGAAAGCGGTCTTTTGTGGCAGGTGGTCCTTAGTTAGAGGTTTGCACCGCACAACCATACATGAATGTGAGACCATCTGTGCCTGGCAAAGTGGTGTGTAGTACCAGGCTGGTTGCTAATCACAGTGGTCTTTAGTTACAGGTTTTATTGTATATGAATGTGAGACCGTCCAAGCCTGGCAAAGTGGTGTGTAGTATCAGGCTGGTTGCTAATCACAGTGGTCTTTAGTTACAGGTTTTACTGTACATGGAAGTGAGCACGTCCCCATGCCACCTACGACTGGCCTTGCATTCTTAGTTGACTTATGTGTGCGCTCCCTCCTCTTTTCTCTCCTTTTGTCTTGCAGTAGAAAGCGCAGAGGGCGGGATACAGAAGATGTGTCAAAGGCGAAACGGTGCGTACCTCTTCTTGCGCTTTCTTCCCAACTACCTTCAGGAATCCCCTCCCCCCCCCCCCCCCCCCCCATTCCAGCAACTTACCTTGAGGAGCATTCTATTTTGTGGAGGAAAGCTGTTCTGCTTCGGCAATAGGAGTGTGTGTGTGTGTGTTTGTGTTTGTGTTTGGGTTTGGGTGGGGTGTTTTTTTTGTATTTTTTTGTAGGGTGTTTAGGGTGTATATTACTTAGCTGTTTAGTCGAGTGAATGGGAAGCTTTCTTCTTGCTGAAAGGGAAGAGAATTGATGTTCTGTCATGCATCTACACATCATCAAGGAACAATCTGTTGTCTCTAAGAACGTTTTCTTGTGATTCCTATCTTATTCATTGCGAATTATAAAAAAATGTCTCCTCGTCGACCCCCGGAAATATTTAAATAAACGGCAAGGAGACAACAATTTTAGAATCGCAACCAACTCGTTGACTGTTCATATACTTCTGTGTATCCTGCATCTCAGAGTTGCCAAGCAGAGCACCAAGTACGACAGTGACATCATCGACACCGAAGACGACGAGTCGACGGATGACGACGCCAGGAAGGCAAAGAAGGCGCAGCGGGGTGACGATGCCGTTGCCGACAGTGCCAACTCCAACGACGACGACGACGACGACCAGAGTGACAAGGAGAGGAGCAGTAAGGCTGGCGGCGAAGACGACACTGTTGATGACGATGACGATGACGATGAGGTGCTGAAGATTGCGCCGCGGGGCGATTCTCCGGCGAGCAGCAGTGCTGAAGAAGAAGGAGAAGAAGAAGAAGAGGATCCCACAGCAGCAGCGGCGGCAGGTAAGCATTAGTGAACTATTTTCGAGCTGGGAATGTGAACATGTTAAAAAAATATAAAAAAAGTTTAAAAAACATATCGTCAGGGATATTGTCTTACTCGCATTGGAACTCATCGTTGTTGATCACGTTGTTGATCACGTTGTCTCTGGTATCTTGTTGTTGATCACGTTGTCTCTGGTACTATCTTGTGTGCTGCAGGATCCGGTGGGGATGATGAGTCCACACCGGCCGTGCGCCGCCCTCAGCGCCGTATTGAATCCAGCGACGAGAGCGACTGAGTGCTGCGTGCCCACGCATTTCACGGCTCGTCTCCATGGCCGTCGCCATTGTCGTTGCCATGGCTGGAGCCCGTACTCCCTGTACAGACGTTGTACATATGCATACATGCTGATTCTGTTAGCTGGTTTCCTACGCCATATACACACCTCTAGGACTCGTCCGCCGCGCTCTTTCTTAGCGCTTCTGCTTTTCCTACTTGTCATGTAGCTGCTTTGCTTTCGCTGGAGCTTCTGCTTGTTAGTATTCTTCGGGGACGTCTCCACACTCCCCCCCCCCCCTCCGCGCATGCACGCATACGTGTGTGTATGTGTACGTATATGACTATGCACTCCGTGGCACACGTGGGTGCGCGTGGGTACGACGTGTATACCGGTGTGTGTCATAGTTGTTGTTTTATCTAAGTAAATGTGTCCATAGCTTCATTTGTGTGTGTGTGTGTATGTGTATGTATGTGTGTGTGTGTGTGTGTGTGTGTGTGTGTGTGCGTGTGTGTGTGTGTGTGTGTGCGTGCGTGCGTGTGCGTGCGTACGTGTGTGTGTGTGTGTGTGTGTGTGTTGTGTGCGTGCGTGTCCTAGTTCCAATAGTGTCTCGTTGTCTACTGCATGCTGGCATGCTGTGTGTGTGTATATTTTTTCTCCGCTGTTGCTCTCTTGTACATACTTTGGCTGGTACATTCTTAGGCTGTTTCTACACATAATTCGTTGTGACACGTTATGATCTGTTATGATATACGTGGGGATGGTGCCCTTCTTCTGACCAACCCTGCCATGTTGATTCTCTTTCTTCAGTTGATATACATGTAAACCGTTCTGTACTCTGACCCTCAGGATCATGCTGTCATCTGACTACGAGTCACTCAAGTGCAGTGTGGATCCGGGAGTCAGTATCTTACGACTCCCCGGTGTAGATCTACCGGCACCTGATTGTAGTGCCTGGTGGCGAGAATGCCTGGCGTGACGATCGTGAGTGAGTGATGCGTGTGCCTGGTATGGGTGCGTATGTCAGTGGTGGTCATAGCTTAGTGCACGCATGCATGCATGCATGCAATGCATGCATGCATTGCACCGGAACCACATGCATGTGGGCGCAAGTGACTTTAATGGGCCACGGTTGTTGGTGGTGTTGGTGATGCTGGTGCTGCTGGTGCTGCTAGTGATGGTGGTGGTGGTGGTGGTGATGATGGCGTCAGTGGTAGTGATGATACTGGTGGTGATGGTGGTGGTGCATGGGGCTGGTGGTGGTGATGGCGGTTGTGGTGGTGGTAGTGGTAGTGGTAATGGTGGTGGTGTATTGGTGTAGTTGTCATCGCCATCATCGCGGTCGTACGATCGTGTTCTTATAAAGTGAGAACATAAATATTAAATAATAATTATCCTGAAGTACATGCACAGTGTTGCTCAATGAAATCCAGTCGCGTCACTCAAGTTCGCGCCGGGTGTTGCGCAGCCCTAGACCGGTGAACGCTGGGAAATGATGCAAGGCGCAAACTTGAGTGACGCGACTGGATTTCATTGAGCAGCACTGTACAATGTACCCGGGTATACATGTATATGCCAATCAGTGAAATGTCTGGTCAGTACATACACCAGAGTGTGCAGCTCCGCATCTATGCTTATGCTGCATGAAACCGATCCAGCGGCGAAGTTCGTGTTCGTGTTCAACTTTTGAAGTTTTGTACTGCAAGCAGCAATGCGCAACACAAGTTGCCTTGGTATAAACGCGGTAAAAAGGCCAAGGCGAGTCGAGTCACTATGACATCGGACCTAAGCAAAATAAAAACTTTGCGACGCCGTGGTACGATCATTACTCATTAGTTCTTCCAGAGCTAGAGCTGCATCTGGTTTATGTACATCTTGGTACAAGCAAGAGTACAATCATACTAGTAACTTATGCTTGGTGCAAGCGCATGGTCTATCGAATGGTCAGCCGCTATTCTGAAGAGTCCGTATCTATACTGTATATTCTCTATTATAAGCGCAGGTCTCCATTACAAGCACAGTCTCTAATACTAGCACACTGTGAGCACCTTTCGAAACATTATAAGCACAGTCTCTATTATTAGCACGGTCTTGGTGGAAATCAATGCTGCATGCATGATATCTAGCATGTATTTCTTCTTGCCCTGTATGGATGTACTGGTTGAAAAAATATAAGCACGGTCTCCAATATAAGCGCGGTCTCCAATATAAGCACGGGGTAGAGGAGTGTTGAAAAAATATAAGCACGGCGCTTATAATAGAGAATATACGGTATTTCCTTTTCCTTTCTACATTATTATTGGCTCAACATCCTGTACACATCCGAGTTTCAAAATTAATAATAATAATGATAATCAAAAGTAGAAAGGAAAAGGACACATGGAAACGAGTTAAGAGTAACTCTCCACCACTGTAACTAGATACTATATACAGTCAGAAAGTGCAACAACAAGGCACAAAACTGACAGAGTACTGAGACATTCTTAACTCGTTTCCATATGTCCTTTTCCTTTCTACTTTTATTATTGGCTCAATACCCGAGTTTCAAATAATCAAAAGTACACGATATTCTTTAATGGAGTCTTTTTTTTTATTTATTCGTAAGATACTGGTCCGCGCATGCGTGTGTGTTCACAAATGGATCGGAGAAAGCGTGCGTGTGTACGTGCGTGTGCGTGTGTACGTGTGTGTGTGTGCGTGCGTGTGTGTACAGTATTCACGAATGGATGTGACTGAGCCCGGCGGATAGTGCGTGTGACATCCTCAATGCAAGCACATGGCACATGCAGTGCAGTGCAGTGCAGTGCAGTGCATTGCATTGCATTCATAACTCTTGATTGCATGTACCGACCGCATACATTTGTCTTGAGAAACTCAAAGTCATAGTCATTGTCAAGGACGGTGTTTATGTGTGATCACTGATGTTGTTGCTCTTGTATTTTTTAGATGTCATCCTTAGTAAACTGAGAAGAGAACACTACGACACAACACAACACAGTACAATGTACACTAACACCTAGTGACTTACTATAAAAGACCCGGCAAGCGAAGGTACGTTGTCTACGGCCATACCACGTTGAAAATACCGGTTCTCGTCCGATCACCGAAGTCAAGCAACGTCGGGCGAGGTTAGTACTTGGATGGGTGACCGCCTGGGAATACCTCGTGCTGTAGACTTTTTTTGTGTCTTTTGTCTTTTGTAACTGGTAGATCGAGTACATGTACATGATGGTTGCGTAATCAATCATTCAATGACTTCACCTTCGTTGCCTTATTTTTTGCAGTGCCTTGTTTGTTTTGTTGGCTTTTTCCACTTCACATTATCATTCTGATTATGCACAGCTACAATTTTATAGTTTCGAAACATTTATGTAGGCTTTGACTGGCGAACAGGTTTTGAAATTTGTGGTGGCACCTACCTGCTGTGGATTGCGAGATGAGACTTCTCAGCAGTTTGGCTTTTCGGGCACCGGTGGTTTCCCACGGAGCACTGGGTATCCGCCAGCAGCATGGACGTGCTCTGCCCAGAGCGACACGGCGAAAGATTAAGCTGGCTGGTGCCGGCCTCATGGGCTTCGTGATCTTCTCATGTATCCTCTCTTGTATGAGTGCTGCAAGCTTTCCTACACGTTGATCATGATGCGCCGTGTTGTGTTGCGCCATCACCCGGCCAAAAACTAGGGTTTCCTATAGTCTAGAGGTGCATGCGAGCAATTGGCGATATCCGTGCACGCCCATGCAGCTCGACAGTGAGTGAGTCGGGATCATAAATTCATAACAAATAATTTTGGTGGGCAGTGAATCCGACCTCATGAACAGAGTAGAATCATGCTCACGGTGTGGCCCAGTGTTCGCCGTGTCACTGTACACGTATGATAGGGTCGCAGAGCCCCCCCCCCCCCCCCCCTCCGGCCGGAGCTATTAGAGCGGATTTCATTTGCCACAACAATACTTTGAAGTACATGATGTACAATCGTGGCCAAAAGAATCTGGCTGATACTGTACATGTTGCAGGTACAGTCAACTTTGTGTATAACGACACTCGGCGGGGCATCAGAAACGTGGCCTTATACCCGAAGTCTCATTATAATGTATTACAGTTACTGTAAAGGCCATTATTCTAACTCTGGCGCATATATAACGATTTCCCAAAATTGACTAGTGTACGTGTACCAAAGGTAACGATTCTCACTCATTCTCAACGCTCAATAGGACAGTATGATGTATCGATTTCTGTATAACGATTTCTATTTTAACGACAGATTTCTCCTCGTTAACTCGTTAGAGTTAGCACTTCGTTATATATACGGTTTTTACAGTAGATGGGACTTTGCTCTGCGCGTGGAAATTCTGTCATTCGCGAATTGCCGTTATATCCGCAGTCGTTATTAGCGACGTTGACGGTAATCTAAACACAGTGATGCACTACCACGGCACATACCGTACTAATGCACATAATTATAAGCACATGCGATTATAAGTGTTTTTTTGCTACGAATCCAATTTTCAAAAATGAAACGTTTTCACCTGAACGCGCATGCGCGATCAGAGCTCGTTTGCCAGCGTCTTTGTGTTTGACTAGGTCTTGTAGTGTCAGTATCAAGGTTCCTGTATGCTGTTTGCGGACTTTTATCCGTGATCGTGTCAAAGTGAGAATTTTCGTAGTGCTTCGCCTGTAAGAGCATGCGCTTATAAGTGAGACTGCGCTTGTACCCGAATGCAGGCACATGCGCCTATATGTGCGTCACTACGGTACCTAGGGTTTATCGGGTGTTAGCGGCCGTCGTGAGTTCCCTTCGGGAACGGACACGATAATTTACTTTACTTTTTACGGTACCTAGCTAGCATGTACTAGTACGTAGCTGCAGAGTCAGTGCGGTGCCGCAGTGGTAGATCTACAGCAAATGCTGGTATTAAAGCGCGTGCATGCTACCGTGTGCCACCACCGTGTCCGCGCACCATTGTACAGTCAGACCTCGTTTATCCCGATCCCTCGCCATCCGGTAGAAAATTGTTGGTTACCGATTTACAGCATATGCCATGCACATATTACAGTATGTGTGTTCGATTATCCGGTTCCCTCGCCTATCCGGATATTTTTCTGGAAAACGGATGTGTGCGGTTATGCGAGGTCTGACTGTATTGGCATTAGCCGGATTTTTTGGCGACGACTGTAGAAAAAGGGCACCGTCGCTTTCCGCTTGCATAATGCATGATTTCGATGGCAGTGACTTGCAAACAAGTCGGGCAAGTAAACTATCATTCGACGTCGCTTAAATAATAACAGAACAGCTAGCGTGCCAGACAGCCAGCACTGGGTAGCAATGCCAACCTTTCCGCTTCCGTCTTCCCTGAGCTCTGCTGCAGGTGATGGGTGGGTTGTGCGTTTTATATGCTGGTGCAGTGTACATGTGACAAAGAGAGAAAAAGTAGATTAAGTGCGTGGCTAGTCAGGGTGTGTAAAAAGATAGGTGTGTGTGTGTGTGTGTGTGTGTGTGTGTGTGTGTGTGTGTGTGTGTGTGTGTGCGTGTGCATGTGTGTGTGTGCGTGCGCGTTTGTGCTGTGTGCAGGTGTGCACACACACACACACATACCTGTATACGTGTACTGACTGCATGTGTAGTGTGTAGTGTTGTCCACCGCTGTTTCCTTAACCCCGCAAACTCTCCGCTCTCCAGTTTGCTACAACATCTTTGTAGTACCGCAGGAGCTGAGCGACCCGGAGTTTGACAAGCGGGAGTAGCGCGTCGTCAGCGTTGCGTGTTCCGTGCTACCGACGGCGACGCATCTCCGACGCCGATGTCATGATCGGCTGGCCGCCACCGCAGCATAGCGCACCTTCTTGTGATGTCCCGCCGCCGAGTGGCCGACGACGCGTGGAGATCTTCATGCAGGGTAAGGCTGCGCGTTGCTGCAAGCGTTGTTTGGTCCACCCGCGTCCGCTTGTTACCTGGTAACGGGGCAGCACTAGGTGTGTTGTTGTGCCGCCTTTCCAGCCCTGAAGTCCACTACAGACAATGCTGTTGGGGCTGCTGGTGTTCGCAGTTTCCTGGCGCCTGCAGCTCTGGTGGTGGCACCCTCTGACGCTGCTGACTAGACCCATGCACAGCCAATAGGCATGTGTGTACCTTGTGTGCCAGTCTTCTCCTAGCTGGATTTGTGTGCAGACTGTGCGCGCCAATCTTCTTGCCTGAATTGCTACGTACAATGGGGGCCTATTCGCATCGGGTTACGGCTTTTGGCGGGTCGCGGCCATGTGCCCTTTTAGTTTTCATACCCACAGGCTTTGGATACGTATCCCGTTGTTTATTCATAATATTCCCATGGAGATTTCGTCTGTAGCCGCAGGCAGGCAGCATTGGTTCACACATACCCAACATCAGCCAAGTTCTGGAAAACGTTCAATTTACTCCGGGTTCTGCTGTTGTGTGCGTGTGCGTGTGTGTGTATGTATGTATGTGTGTGCGCTGTGTGTATTGGAGAGGGGGAGGGAGAGACAGACAGACTGAGAGAGGCTGTGTGCAGACGCACACGCTCAGTCTTTTGACTGTTGAGCGGCGCAATCTTGGCACGAGCTTCGCTACCCAGCAGCATGCAATGTAGTTCACCGGTTGGCTACCTAATGTCATCATGCGGTAATACTAGTATTGAGAATGTCCTTGTGACTGTTTGTATCTGTGACAGTGGAGGCGTTGTTGACCTGTAGTGCTGTGCCGAGCATGGGGCTGTCTGCATGTAGCTCAACGGGTTGGCAGTCACGTGTGAGACCAAGCCTTAGTCGGTGTAGTGCATGGGTGCATTAACGGATGAGAGAGTCGTGATAGGAGACCATCAAGGCATCAGGTGTCTGTGATGTACTGTCGGGGACGGATTAGTTTTTTGCCTGTTACTGTAAAATCGGAGTCTAACGTTTCAACGACCAATTTTTTCTTTATTTGAAGAAACGTTATCGCGAACCCGGTTTGAGATGTCTGTGTAAAGATGCGCATACGTGCATATGGGTGGCCAGGTAGCCATCGTTAAACTTTCTGCACGTTATCATGCCAAATTTACAAAAACGTTTTAACTCTTTGGTCGTTTTAAACTTTCCGGTTTTACAGTACAACTTTTGCGTGCTGTGTATGGAAATACACGTACTGCACCATAGCTCGTGTCTTGAAGTTCTGTGACATGACCTGACGTTGATCTGGAGCAAGCTGTGCTGCACTGGTAGCGCCATGGTAGCACCACGTATACTGCATCTGTGTTGCTCGTTGGTGTTGTGCCTGACCTCACCCGTCGTCTCCTAAGCAATACAAGTATAAAAACTCGGATGTTGAGCCAATAGTAATATGTAAAGAGAAAAGGACCCTCATTAGATTGTAACTTTCCGCACCTGAGCCTTCCAAGTTGGAAGGCTGTTGGTGTGCGCTTCGTAGATGTGTTGGAGCTAGGTGTCAGATCGTCGAATGTCTCAATATCCCTGTCAGTTTTGTGCCTTGTTGTGGCACTAACTGACTGTACATTATCTCATTACCTTGGTGGACTGTTAGTCATAACCAGTAACTCATAGGACTCCTTTTTCTCTTTACAGTGCAAGTACTGTAGTGTCTTGTATAAAAGCCTGTCTGGTATAGAAGCCTGTTTTGAATAGAATCCTGATTTTTAAGATACACTGTCAGCACATATTAAAGCCTGGTTTAGTGTTGACATACATAGAGATAACGTGGTTTGAATAGTAGCCTGACTTGTGTAGAAGCCTAGCACTGGCATCGGCTTATACGGCCGTAAGCACCTGCTTTTATACGCCACATTACAGTATGTAGGAGCGAGTGTGTTTGTTGATAATTGGTACTGTTGGTGCTTGCCCAATAGGGCTACATAGGTATGCTGCTTTGATCAATGAACAAGGCCTGATCAGTAGCCCGACCCAGACCGGACCTACAGTGTGCAGTGCAAGCTTGTGCTGCTCATCACATGCAACTCCTTTATGATCACATGATCATGTGCCATACCAAGAGTATAATTATAACGGGGGTTATGTACTCTTGGCCATACTGATGGTTGCATGCCATGGGTTGCGCAGAGGTCAGGGGGGCCTCCTCGATCGACCACGCGGGCATGGCAGTCGCGAGATCGCGGCAGCAGAGCGCTGGGCTGATTTTCCTGTGTGTCACCAAGATGTTCAGTGTCCGATCGTGGCGGATCGCTCGCGTGATGACCCTATGTCCAGCATAGGGCTGACTGCATGCGTGCAAGCACCATGGGCTATAGTACTATAGGGCTAGCATGGCGTGGTGAGAGATGAGAGGGCATCTGTCAGCACTGTGGCAGTGTGGGTAACCGGCGCAGGCGTTCATGAGCAGCGGAATTCACGAGGCAAGCAAGTGCTGCAGCAGTACAACGGCTGCATAATTTATACTCGCGACATTCGTACATTGTCAACTGCCAGCAAGCAAGCATGTCACTGGTGTCATGTGACATTTGGACTGGGCCATGCCAGGGCATTTCCCTGGTGTGCCATTGTTTTGAAGTATCGTCTTGACAGCACCAGCATCTCTCCCAGTCCTGGAGATTGATTGTGTCAGGCCACCCCTGTCAGGTTTAGAGTGGTCTTCTGTGTGTTTGAAGTGCCGTGACTAGCAGCGTGGAAGTAGTGGACTGGTAGTCTAATAGTCTAATAATAGAACAGTAGCACTGTGGCCATTAGGGGCCCGCCGTCCGGGGTTACCGATAGTTTTTGCAAAACGAAAAGTTTTAGTATTTTTCAGCACCCACCCACCCACCCACCTACCTTTTCTGCAGGTAAAACGAACTCCAATAAAAATATTGGACCATCCGAGTTTCGAATAAAATATTGATGTCAATTTTCGACACCCAGAAGTAACTGGGCATTCTCCATCTGCATTCAATAATTATTTTCAAAACGAAACTCCTTCAAACCCACCCACCCCCGAACGAAAACTTTTCGTTTTGAAAATACTACTGGTAACCTTGGACAGCCCCTTAGTAGATTGGTAGTGTGAGCAGTGTAACCAGGTAACATGTGAGTTTGTTACACACCCACACATATCATAATAGACTAGGCTGTACGTACTTTAAGCAGTCTCCTAGCGTTAGTACAGTCTGTTATACTAGTAAGTTACTGGCCTGGGGGCAAGCTTCGAAGTCCGCAGTCTATAAATGAGGCTACGGGATTAAGATTTTAGCATAACTTACAGTTGCACTGATTGCATTTGCCCTGGGCTTTACAGCAGTGTTACCAGCTGTGACATCTGACTGAGGAGACACATAGGCAGCCCATATATATATGGCCATAGTCCGTACCACCACCATGCACACCCCTCACAAGAGAAGCACGCAGATCTGCAAATGCACACACACACACCCCTTGTTGTGCCTTGACATATATCAGTCATGGATGACATGTGGCAGACAGCGCATGCTGCCTGCACATGTCATTGGCAGTGGTACTGCATGCACTGCGGCTGCGACGTGTAAGGAATGCTACCTTGTCCTTTGCCCATGCAGGCTTAGCTGGACTGTCAGCCCTGCCATCACCCCATTCTACCAAGAGATTTCACTCCTGCATCTACTGCGCTGAGTGTGAGCTCAGTTGGAAGTCTTCACGCTAAAAGTCATGGTGGAGTAATTCCCAAAGTCTCCTCTACATCTGGCTCTTGTCGGGACTGATCCGATAACTTGCCTAAAGTGCATACTTGTAGGATTTTGAAAACCGCCCAGCAAACACCTCCATGCACACCTTCAAACACACCCCTCCCACTTCTATTCACTGCAGTGGAACAGCCACCATTAGCCACCGGTCTCTCTCTCTCTCTCTCTCAGACACCAGTGCACACATCACAGAGCTGTTTGATTCATTGACTCAGTATTCAAGTGTTTTTCAATTCGGAAGAGCAACTAAAAAGCCTAGGTACCACACGCTAGCACTGTAGGAGAAGAACAAGACTATCATGTACAAGCGGCGGGTGACCCATGATACACAGGTAAAGAAGAGCAGAGAAAACAAAACCGGAAAAACAGTAAGAAAGCGAGAAATAGCAATGCGGGATACACACACACGGCCGTGTAAAGGAAGCCACCTGCTCACAGCGGCGGCTGGACTGCGCGTGACGCAAGTACGCCAGGACAGAAAGCCATGCAGCCAAACCACGGGTACGGGGTGCAGGCGAGCTCAAATAGATAGAAGCTGTGTGTGTGTGTGTGTGTGTGTGTGTGTGTGTGTGTGTGTGTGTGTGTGTGTACGTGTGTGTGTGTGTGTGTGTGTGTGTGTGTACGTGTGTGTGTGTGCCTGTGTTGTAGTACAGACTACTTTTGCCTTTTTATTTAGACAGACGCGTGTGGAATATTTCATGAGCAAGAAAGTTAGCATGCCTGGTCCGACAGGAGACGGAGTAAGATGAGAAACTGCGTGCACTCGTCGCCGTAGTCCCATTCACTGCCACTAAATAAATTGTCGTCGTGTGTGTTTGTGTGTGTCTCAAGGACGTGCGCGTCACTCGGGAATGTCCTGGGGCACGGATGTCAACCGCAGAACCCACCAGGGGCTCCACGGGTACGCCCGAACGGACGCTCTGAATAACTATATCTCAAACAGATTGTCTTCCGGGGGGAACCAAGGTTAAAAACTCGCCTAAAACATAAATATCCCTGCTATTAAAAAAAAAAGAAGGTTGAAAACCCCGGCGACAAGAGTGTAAATAAATATTCTATGCTACTCAAATACCTTCTAAATGCCGTGTCGTAATAGCCAGTCGGATACGCTTTCATAGATGACCAGCATGATAGCACCGCCGGGCCCGAGTCGCATCACCTTCGGCACCAGGCCGGTGTACAACGCCCGCACGCCCTCCTCGCGGTAGATGAGCGCCATCGTCTGAACCGTGCTGTGGTAGCGGCGAACGCCGTCCGGCTGCGGCCCCTGGATGCGGCTCTTGGCCACGTCGAACGGGATGTTGGCGGTGCTGGCCAGAGTGCCGGCGGCCAGGCCCAGCGCCAGCCGTCCGAGAATGTTCTGCGTCCGACCGTCGGCGGCTGGCGGCAGCGACGGCTTGGCAGAGTGGTACAGGCCAAAGTAGACGCCGTTCCACACGCCGTGGCGGCCCAGCGTTGCCGTGATGCCGCGGCCCAAGCCCTGCCGGCCCAGGCCGCCAGCGCGGTACACGTCCCGCGCCATCTCCATCGTGGTGGTGCGTACGCTGTGCGAGCCCTTCTGCGCCTGCAGCGACACCTTGACCACCTCGAACGGGTTGATGACCAGCGCCTCGGTCAGACCACAGCCGAAACCAGCTGCGCTGTAGACGAGTGGCGTGGCCGCTGTCTGCCCGTTGCCCGTCAGTAAATTCTTGTACTGCTCAAAGCAGACGAACTTCACAGCTCGCTTGGGTGTTTCGGCCAGGATTGGTGGCAAGATGCCTTTGTAGAAGGAGAGCGAGCCCTCGCTGGTGTACATGCGTCGAAAGCAGTCCCCGACTGACCTGTAGCGGTCCGCCGACGTCCTGCTCTGAATTTGCAGTCTCGTTTTGACCACGTCCAGCGGGTGCATGCAGCACACCTCGACGAACCCAGCAGCACCACCAGACATGATCTGGCGGCGAGCCTGCTGCAAACGCGATGACGGTACAATCACCGGCAAGTTCTTGGGCACAGCTACGGATATGGTGGCTGGCGAGGTGGTGGGACTAGTTCCTGGTAGTTGAGCAGCCATTCTACTGGCCTGTGTTGCCAGAAAGAATAAAAGCGCCCTGGGAAAGAAAGCCAATTTTTGTTGCTGATGCAGATGTAGTTCAAAGCTAAAATCTACGCTCAACAGGCCAATCCAAAGGGGAACAATGGCAAATTTACTTCTGTCACACCAAGTCAAGAGAGATCTGTTCGCTCGCCGTCAGACTGGACCTAGGATAGAATAGGATGAGGCAGAAAACCTGCACAGGCAGGACGAGGAGAGAGAGAAATCTTGGTGCGTTCTCACTGCGATGACAATTGACAATGGTAGAGAAAGCAAACTGCCACCTGCTATCATTTTACCAGCGCATTCTACCGTACCCGCCATTTTCGAACAACCAGTGCAGCACGTCCTTCCCTCGTGTACTACTGCCGTGCACGTGAACTCACTTCAACCCAGCCAGCCGGATCACGTGAATCATTTCATTTGCTGGCGGCCCGGGGAGTGGCGGGTGCGGGCGCGGGCGCCGGGCATGCAGTACAGCACGGGCTCCGCGCCGCATCGCTGATGAGGTCCGCTGATGGCATGATGCCTGGTCTCTAGTAAGTCTAGCCTAGGTCTCCGCTGCGAGTGCTGTTTGCCTTGTTATCGTACAGTATACTATAGTGTACCTCCTTGGACATCCTGCATGGCACATTTATGTAACCGTAGACTGTAGTTCTCCACATTCTATTATCTTCGAGTTTTTGAGTTTGCCACATTCTTGTGATGTAATCTTCGGTTGAGTTTGTCTTACACACCGTAGCACACGTCCACACGGCCGACCGTGGATCGTCAGGTCACTGGCTAGCTCAGCTTGTGGCGCATCATGACACATTTCTCTGGTGTTTCTGCAAAACCTTTGCTTTTCACTAAATCGCAACAAATACTTGCACTCTTCTCACCGCTCTGCTGTCTGCACTTCCCTTTTTTGTCTCTCAAACCCACAAGCTCAGTAGCTAGGTTTGAAATTTGCACCCTCCTGCGGAGCCCACGCTGCTTTGGCAGTGGCGGAGGCTCGCTTGCCGACGTAACCGTCGGAGATCATCATGAACAATGGACTGACTAATTATTCACTTGTCCTGTCTTTATAAATAACATGTTATTGCATATGTTCTTGGTTTAGTTTTTGGCCTTTTTCGTGCTTTGGATTTGATAACATTTTCCTCACTGCGGTGAAAAAAAACCAAGCTCAGTAGCAAGAGCTGGGATTCCCAGGCTGGGAGCCACGTAGACCTGCGACTCGTACAGTGCATGCTGGCAACTGAAATCCGCCCGCTGCGCTGAGCAGTGTGTTCACATTTTAGCGGTCCTGATCTGACGAGCTCTGACGCTGAGCGCATTCGGACCGCGACTGTCCGCGAGTCTCGGATGCATGAGGCTAGCTGTGTGATCTGATCAGGTTGCGTTTGGTTGGGCATTTTCAGAATGTGAATGACAACCATTCTGGAATGGGAATGGGTAAGAATCACCTGACCAAACAAACGCGCCAGAATCAACTAGGAATCACTTGACATAACAATTCCATGATGTCGTTGTGGAACGGCGGCTCTCTTCTTTTTGCCCGACTCGAGTTTCCTTGAGAGAGTCAAGGTACTTCTGAGTGCATGATTTGAAGCACTTGAACCTACATGATTGTACATCGTTTGGCTCGTGGCAACCATTATCATTTTTGATTGCGGAATGAGAATGCCCATTCCAGCATGTGAGGTGGAATGATCATTCTCCAAAAAGAATCATTCTCAGCGATTCCCATTCTGGAATGGGACCAACCTAACGCACTTTTTGACCAACCAAACGGGCGCGCGAGAATCGATTCCGGGTGATTCCAAGTGATTCCCATTTGGGAATGTGACCAACCAAACGTAACCTGATGACATCCTACATGTACAGTCAGTACCCATGCCATGGTAGATCTACAGTACATGATATAATGCATGATTG